GCAGGGGAAGGATCAAATGAAGCGAGTATCTTTATGTAAAAAAAAAAAAACTAAAAAAAAGTCAAACTAATCTTTAAAAAGGTTCTGGCCCTCTAAGACTGATCCACCTGAAGTCTGGCAAGGGGAGAGTTTGTTTTCTTGTCACAAAACCCGTTGCAAAGTGGACTGTTGGTAGACGTGGAAAGGACTCAGGTTAGAGAGGGAGAGGAAGGGCCGCACCAGTAGCAGATTTTGATTCTTTTTGACACTGTTAAAAGCAAGAAGGAGGGTGATGTTTGACCTGCGCGTGTCTTCAGGTCCCCACGCCAAACACGTGCAGTTCTTGGACGGGTTCACGCCGGGGGTGTTCATGAGTGGGTCCCACGGTGGCTCTCGTCATCACCACCACACGTACCCTTCCTATCACCACCACACCTACCCTCCCCACCACCAGCACCACCCCAAGCACCACTCCAAGCACCACTACCACCAGAAGCACCACAGCTCGCTCTCCCTGAGCCACCATTACGGGACGCACTCATCCAACCACCCCCAGGCGTACCAACAGCGCCAGCAGCAGCAGCAGCGGCAGGGCTCACGGGCTCACCACTCCTCCTCTCGGACGCGGGTTCTCCCCCAACACCCTGGGCGCCACCGCTCAGTCGGCAAACCACCCACCACCACCACCTCCTCCTCCTTGGTGGCCTCGGGCGTGGGCGGCGGGGGCGGCGGCGTTGGCGTTGGCGTAGGAAGTGGCGTGGGCGGTTTCCCCAATGCGTCGCCGCTCCCGGGTTCCGCCAACCTCGAAAATGCAGCCACGGAGATCGATCGCATTATGGCCAAAATCGAGCAGGATAATAAGATTCTCGCTGAGCTCGAGAAGTCGCGGTCGACCATAGGTAAGATTTGTGAGATATAATTTTTTTACGTGTGTGTGTCTTTCCTCTTTTTTTTCCTCCCATTTTTTTTTCATTTTCACCCATTCGGATATTTTTCTGGAGGGGATTGTCATCCCCTGTGTATTTTTTTTTAAGTTATTCTCTAAGAAAAAAAAAATCGGGGTCTTAGCTGTGTGAATAATCGCAGGGGAAGGATCAAATGAAGCGAGTATCTTTATGTAAAAAAAAAAAAACTAAAAAAAAGTCAAACTAATCTTTAAAAAGGTTCTGGCCCTCTAAGACTGATCCACCTGAAGTCTGGCAAGGGGAGAGTTTGTTTTCTTGTCACAAAACCCGTTGCAAAGTGGACTGTTGGTAGACGTGGAAAGGACTCAGGTTAGAGAGGGAGAGGAAGGGCCGCACCAGTAGCAGATTTTGATTCTTTTTGACACTGTTAAAAGCAAGAAGGAGGGTGATGTTTGACCTGCGCGTGTCTTCAGGTCCCCACGCCAAACACGTGCAGTTCTTGGACGGGTTCACGCCGGGGGTGTTCATGAGTGGGTCCCACGGTGGCTCTCGTCATCACCACCACACGTACCCTTCCTATCACCACCACACCTACCCTCCCCACCACCAGCACCACCCCAAGCACCACTCCAAGCACCACTACCACCAGAAGCCAGCAGCAGCAGCAGCAGCAGCAGCGGCAGGGCTCACGGGCTCACCACTCCTCCTCTCGGACGCGGGTTCTCCCCCAACACCCTGGGCGCCACCGCTCAGTCGGCAAACCACCCACCACCACCACCTCCTCCTCCTCCGTGTCTGCAATGTCCCGTATCAAAAATTTTCTCACAGTGCCGAAGCCTCACTTTGCTCGCTTTGAGCGGAACAGTAAGTGGCGGTTTAGCTGCTACTGGATCTGCTACTCTGGCTCCTGTTGGTAGCTATGAGAGGCGGGTCTGTACGGCCCTTTAGTCGTCCTGGGGCGGCCCGCTCCTGCACCTGTAGAAGGCTGGGTTCGTAAAGCCAACAGCACCGTAAGAGAGAAAGCCCAAAAATACAAAGCTCAGTCCGCTAGAGTCCCAGAACGGTCTTTTGAGTGAAAAAAATGCTCTAGAACATGAGAGAGAGAGAAACAAAAATACAAAACTAGAACACTTTGTTATTTATGGAGTTGTTGATTTACAAACCTGCAGCGTAGTCGTAGCGCGGGCCGTCTGCCTTCTGCTCGTACCCTGCAGCTTCCCGTACACGTCTCGTGGTCCGGCCAGAAGTTTTGTTCGTAAATAATTAATGATTTTTGTTCTTTTTTGAAATGAAGTAGGCCTCTACTTTCATCTGATTTTTGAGACTCTGGCGAGGAAGAAGCTGAGAAGCATCTTAGATCTCGCTTGATTTAGCGTTAGTGTACGGTTTGAATGTTGTACCATTGTAGGTTGCGGCCTGTATTCTGAGTCAGTAGTTTTCTATTTTTATCTGAGAGTCTTTTTTTACGTTAATACATAAAGCAAAATCTGTAAATGGTTTGAGGAACTAGTGGTGGTGCTCGTATGCTCGAGGCCTTCAGAGAGTCTGGGTCTCGCAGCTAACATCATTCTTAGCGTCATCATATATATATATATATATACATATCTTTTTTTCTGTACCCATCTGAGACCTGCGTGACTAGTCTATCAGAACAGACTCTGACGTCTCGCATGACCCATACTGATCCCGTCATGGTCTAGCATTGCTGTGCATGAACAGACCTCACTTGCATGGGTACGGTCCAATTTTATATCATAGACCTCTTGTCAAACATCAGTTTATCATGCAAATTGATTCTTCAGTCTCAGTGTTTTCTTATCTCTTTTTTCTTCAAACAAACTGTATTTTAACAAGCAAAAAATATGAAAGGAAGATCTGACAGTTTTTCAAAAAGCTTCTTGATTGCACTTAACTGCGACATCGCGGCGCCCGGAGCACGAGCGCTCACGCCTTGGTCTCGCCCTTCTCTCGCCACAGGGTTAAGCACCACCTCGACCGGAGTGACTTCCATCAAGACCAGCGACTTGATCACCTCCCTGGGCCTCGCCTCGCGCACCATGGCGGGCATCACGCCCTCCTCCTTCGCCATGGCGGGCACGGGCATGACCTCCCTCACCGGGGCGGTCACCACCACCGTCTCGGCAATGGACCTCTCCAACCCCATAGTGAACCCCTTAGGTAATAACCCCCTGGGCAGCAACCCCTTAGGGAACAACCCCCTCGGCCTGATGGACCCGACGCTGGCCTCGCAGATGGGCGGCGCCAACCCCAGCCTGGGCCTGACCTCCCTCGGCGGCCTCTCCGGGACCAACCTCCTGGGGGGCACCTCCCTGCCAGGCGTCTCCCTGCACAGCACAAACCCTCTTTCCGTAACCAACCCTGCCAGCCTGCCCGCGGGCCTCACCGGCGTGGGCGTGGTGGGCACGGGCGTGGGCATGGCGGGCGGAGGCATCAGCAACCCCGTGTTCACCAGCGTCAACCCGCTGCCCACCATCATCACCACGAGCTATGACAAGGACGGTACGAGAAGATGTACCGCTTGTTTTCTGTAGAATGCTTTGTTTTTATAAATACATGTTTTTGTTTTAAGTTGTTTATTTATTTTTACCTCTTTTGTTGATGGCTTTGATGTTTCGTAGATTGTTTGATCAAATTTATGTTTCGATTTTGTTTTTTTCGTATTTCGTATTGCAAGAAGTTTAGCGAGTTAAAAAAAAAATATGTTTGTTTCCTTTTTTCGCTGTTGATGATTTTGTAGAAATGTAGTATTTTTTTGGGTTTTGATTTTAATGTCTTGCTGTTGTTGTTGTTTATTGTTCTTGTTTGGTTTATAATGGTTGAGTTTCTGTTGTTTTAGCAGCTTGTGATTTTTATGTATGATTATATATATTTTTTTTCTACAGTTTTGATTTCTTTGCCGTTTTATCAAACGTTGTGGTAATTTGTGTTTTTTTATTTTTTTTTTTATTTTTTTTATTTTTTAGAACTTGCCGCTAATTTTATATTCGCTATTGTATGATCACCAATTTATTTTTATTCCAAGCACGGACGTAATATTGGGTAAGACTAATATAAATTCTTTATTGCATTTTTCAGATTTCTGTTTTGTATAATTTTTTGCATCTTTTCAATTTAAGTATTTCAATTGAGTATTTAATGCTTCAACATAGAATTAAGCTTATTGTTGCAGTATATTTAATAGATGTCAAAATAACCTAAATTTCAAATATTAACGTTGTGTATAGTACGTTAATTCAAATTCTTTGGATCACTTTTAATTCTCTGAGAATTTTATGATTTCTCCTTCTATATACTTGTTTATTTAGCATCTCGAAGTGTCTCCTTATAAAATCCTATTTCTGTCTGGCCCCCTACAAATGTACCTGTTATTTAATCCCTTTTCACTGTATTTTTACCCCTCCCCCCCAAAAAAAAAAAAAAAAAAAAAAAAATCGCTTCATACACATTTCCATTTAACTTCAATTCAATGAACCCTCATCATTTTTCCCTATTCTAACTGGCTCTTTTACCCTCCCCATCAAGGCTTTTTCGACTATTTGCTTCCACTTCATTCCAGCCATAAGCCATAGTATTTAGCCTACAACAACCTGGTCTATTTATATATTTTTCAATCCCACTATAACCTATGTATTTTTCTTTTTTTTTTTACCCCACAACAACCCGTTTTCCTCCCACTAGAACCTCCGTATTTTCACTTAAGTACAAATCCGGTATTTTTTCTCCCTCCACGACAACCTTGTTTTCACCCCCCGATAGTTACCTCCCTACAACACCCTGGCTCAATTTTACGCCCATTAATCCACACATAACCCTCCCTCATTTTCACCCTGCTATAGTCCCCTCCTACTTTTAACCCCTCCCCCCTGATACTTTCTACCCCCCTCTTGGTACTTCTTCCTCCCCCCTCCCCCCACAATAATTCCTTTCCCCACTTGGCACTTTCTCCCCCTCATAATAACCCCCACCTTTTCACTTTCCCCCACAATAACCCCCTTCCCCATAATCCCTCCCCCCCTCCTCCTCTTCCCCTTGGCCCTTCCCCTCTCTCCCCCACATAATAATAATCCCCTCTCCTCTTGGCACTCCCTCCCGCAGACAAGAACCTGGTGAACGGCAACATCCCGGGCGTGCTGATGCCACAGTACGAGACGGACAACAGAGTGCTGGACGTCCTCGAGATCCCGGGGAAAGGTCGCTGCCACGTCTATATCGCCAGGTCATTGTCACCATTATCCATTATAGTATTCTTGTAGTTTTTTTGTGTGTGTTAGGAGGGTTGTCCATATTTACTATATTAAGGGGAATGATTGAATTGTGGTAGTGAACAAGAACGTGGAGAGGGATTGATCAATATGTAGAATATGAAGAAAGTTGATTTTATTATTATTTTGTCAAAATAACCTAAATTTCAAATATTAACGTTGTGTATAGTACGTTAATTCAAATTCTTTGGATCACTTTTAATTCTCTGAGAATTTTATGATTTCTCCTTCTATATACTTGTTTATTTAGCATCTCGAAGTGTCTCCTTATATAATCCTATTTCTGTCTGGCCCCCTACAAATGTACCTGTTATTTAATCCCTTTTCACTGTATTTTTACCCCTCCCCCCCAAAAAAAAAAAAAAATCGCTTCTTACACATTTCCATTTAACTTCAATTCAATGAACCCTCATCATTTTTCCCTATTCTAACTGGCTCTTTTACCCTCCCCATCAAGGCCCCATCAAGGCTTTTTCGACTATTTGCTTCCACTTCATTCCAGCCATAAGCCATAGCCTACAACAACCTGGTCTATTTATATATTTTTCAATCCCACTATAACCTATGTATTTTTATTATTTTTTTTTTTAGAACTTGCCGCTAATTTTATATTCGCTATTGTATGATCACCAATTTATTTTTTATTCCAAGCACGGACGTAATATTGGGTAAGACTAATATAAATTCTTTATTGCATTTTTCAGATTTCTGTTTTGTATAATTTTTTGCATCTTTTCAATTTAAGTATTTCAATTGAGTATTTAATGCTTCAACATAGAATTAAGCTTATTGTTGCAGTGTATTTAATAGATGTCAAAATAACCTAAATTTCAAATATTAACGCTGTGTATAGTCCTTTAATTCAAATTCTTTGGATCACTTTTAATTCTCTGAGAATTTTATGATTTCTCCTTCTATATACTTGTTTATTTAGCATCTCGAAGTGTCTCCTTATAAAATCCTATTTCTGTCTGGCCCCCTACAAATGTACCTGTTATTTAATCCCTTTTCACTGTATTTTTACCCCTCCCCCCCAAAAAAAAAAAAAAAATCGCTTCTTACACATTTCCATTTAACTTCAATTCAATGAACCCTCATCATTTTTCCCTATTCTAACTGGCTCTTTTACCCTCCCCATCTAGTAATGTTCACAGTTACCATTTTATATATATTTTTTTGTTCTTGTTTTAGTCAAATATATTCATATATTTTTTCAGCACTGATGCTATGTTTTACGCTGACTACCGAATATCATTTCCTATTATTGTTGTCTTCTCTTTTGGGTCGTTTAACTCTCAAATTTCTCCTTATTGACATCACTCGAAATGCCTCCTCGTTGACTGACATCTGCCCTAAATTTCTCCTTCTTTGCTGTTTTCGGCCCAAATTTCGCCTTCCTTGCTAATATCGGCCCAAATATTCTCCTCCATTGCTGACATCCGCCAAAAAATTCTCCTCCATTGCTGACATATGCCAAAAAAAATTTCCTTCCTTACTGACATCTGCCCCAAATTTCTTCTTGCTGACATCCGCCCCAAATTTCTCCTTCCTTGCTGACACCGGCCCTGTTCCAACAGATACTCGTACGACCCCTTCCAACACTCCCCCAACGAGAACCCCGAAGCTGAGCTGGCGGTGAATGCTGGGGACTACGTGCTGGTGTGGGGCGCCATGGATGAGGTAGCACCAAGGACCATTGTGAGAACCCCAGGGTGACTGTGGACTCATGGCACATACCACAAGGACACACCCGCTTGGCCCTGCGTTGCTGTTCTGGCAGTTTTGAATTGTGTTTATGTTTTCATTCATTTATTTTTTTAGAGGGTTTTTTTTGTTTTCTTAGCATTCTTATCCCTCGTGTCTGTAGGATTTAGGGGGAGGATATTGTAGAATGGTAGGGGAAGAAGTAGAATCTTGGGGGGGAGGAAGGGGTGATGTGTTTTTAGATTATTATGGGGCTAAGTGCATGATTATTTTCATAATTAACTGGATAAGTTAGTCCCAAAAGAAAGTTAGGTATGACACTTGTTATATAGGACATATTCAATCCCTGTAGAACACATGTATCCTCATTATTAGGCATGCTTGAGTGAGGTCTCGAGGATACAAGGTGAGCTGCACAAATTTTCCTACAGGATGCCTCAAAATGATTGTGATATTATATCACAGATTTCCGAAATACAACAATTTTTACGTGTGGAAATTGAATTAAAACAGATGGTAATGTTTATTTAATCTGCTGGTGTACCTCACCTGCATCAGATTGTAAGAAAGCACATCCTTCAGGTATTAAAAAATATAGGACTAGATTTTTAGTTATAAACTATACAGTTTGTAATTTATATAATAATCTTAAATTACCAGTAGACCAACTTTCAAGCTTTAGTTCATACCAAAGTAACAAGGTACAAGTACCTTTGTTACTATGCGTTACATAGGTACACATGATTGTAGTGTGTCCAGTCTCAGAAAATATAACGCAAGCAACACAACCCAGACACTGGAGTACTCTCATTCACCAATTCTCTCCTTTATCTGATCAGCTGTTGATACATGTCTACACATACAAGATTTTTATTCCTCTGCACTGCTTTATTATTATTATTTTTTTTTTTACTGAAGAGTCTTGGTGAATTGGAAAGCTCCTGAGTTGAGGGTGAGTTGCCGTTTTTTTGCTTTCCTGAGATTAGACGGAGTATAGTAATAGCATACACCATGACAGAGGGAGAAGATATCAAAATTAAATCATAAAAAATTCTCAAAAGATCTCTTAACATTCACATAACTAGTTTTGAATCTCAAAATGTTATTCTCACTCAGAAATTGGCTCATATATCAGCTGAACGCCTGGCCAGTGTGTGTTCTTGGAGTTGCCAAGGAGTCCTTTTCTCTTCCTTCCTCTCCCATTGCAAATGCCGATGCACGTGCAGTATTAGCACAACTGTTACAGTGCTGCCCTCCCTCCCCATTATAGAACCAGCAAAACCTTTTGGATTTCTTTAACAGTTGCATAGAAGTCTTTGATAGTTCTAACTCTTTTGATATTAAACATAGTGTGGATCATGTTTTTGGACTGCGATCCACTACCACTTTTGAGTGGCATTAGCAAAGCATTTCTTTTTTTCTTTTTTTTTAGTTTTTATTTTATTATTATTGTTTTTTTTTTATTGGTTTGGATTTTGCACTCAGAATTACATGAATGCCAAGAGTAATCAGGACATTACTGTACATACTTTATTTCTTGTTTCATACTGTAAATAAAGTAGTGGATGATTTTACTATTGTTTTACATATATACACATAATTGCGTGTATGTACTTATGGCATATCTAGAGCACAAGTTCCTCATCTGACGGAGACTTGTAGTATTTCCTATTACAGTTACATAAAACTTTCAGAAGAGTATTTTGAGATAGGATGAAGTCACTAGTCATGTAGAGATTTTGTTTTTGAAAGAAGTTATTATTCAATGAAGTCAATCTTTGCCCTTATATATAGGAAAGTGCCTTAGAGTGCTTTAACCCCCAAAACCCTCTCTATTCCTTCTCCTCTTGAGCTATCAAAAACCCTGGAAATACATGGAGGTTCTCGCACTTGTTCTTTGACAATTATTGCTATATATGCTGTGGCATGGTATGAATGCACATCTCTATTTCTTTTCTTAAGTTATCTTTTTATTTAATGCGAACTCCAGAACCATAAAGTCCACAAACTCATTCATGTTTTTCTTTTCTCCTCTCTTTCACTCTCTCTATCTCTCTCTCTTTCCCTCCAATCTCTCTCTCTCTTGCCTCCCCCCCCCCCCGTCTTTCTCCCTTCTTTCTTGCCCCCCCCCCTTCCGCAATATAATTACAGGATGGATTCTTCGACGGTGAGCTGTTGGACGGCAGGCGGGGGCTTGTTCCTTCCAATTTCGTGGAGAAGCTTGTCGGCGAAGACCTGATCGAGTTCCATCAGTCTGTGGTCATGGGCCTGCGGGATGGAGACGAGTCCATGTCCACCTCAGTGCCGCAGGACCTCGACTTCATTTCACAAGACGAGTCGCAGTTGATAG